ATAGGCGTGGGAGTCCCGGGGGGCCTGTCAGGGGGTAGGGGTGTGGATAGGGGACAGGGAGCAGGGCGGGTTGGATGGAGGTGGGGTCCCATAGGGGGGCGGTTAGGGGTGGGGGTTCCAGGAGGGGGCAGTCAGGGGGGATTGGATGAGTGGTGGGTTCTGTGGGGGGCAGTCAGGGGATGGGAAGTGGGAGGGGCCGGATAGGGGGTGAGGGACAGGCTGTTTGGGGAGGCACAGTCTTCCTTACCTGGCCCTCCATACAGTTTCGGAACCCTGATGTGGCCCTCGGGCCAAAAAGTTTGCCCACCCCACCCCTGCCCTATCCTCTGTGAACTCAACTAATTCTTTTTTGCACCCCACTACACTTTTGCCCTTCACAGCATCCCCTGGCAACGAGCGCCACCGGGTGAAGAAATACTTCCTTGGGTTTGTTTTAAACCTGCCGCCAGTTCGTTTCACACAACAGACCTGGCGAGCAGCGCCAAACCTCGCCCATCGCTGCTAAGGAATTTAACCCAGCCCAAGCAATGTTTGAAAAGATGGGTCTGAGCAACGAGAGGCATTGGGCAAAATTTAAAAAAGCACCTAAGTGATGGAGGTGGCTAAATACACCTCTACCCCGACATAACACGAATTCGGATAGAACGCGGTAAAGCAGCGCTCCGGGGGGGCGGGGCTGCGCACTCCGGCGGATCAAAGCAAGTTCGATATAACGCGGTAAGATTTTTTTGGCTCCTGTGGACAGTGTTATATTCGGGTAGAGGTGTACTAATGAGACACAGAGCCATTCACAGAATATCAGGGTTGGACGGGACCTCAGACGGTATCTAGTCCAACCCCCTGCTCAAAGCAGGACCAATCCCCAGACAAATTTTTGCCCCAGATCCCTAAATGGCCCCCTCAAGGATTGAACTCACAACCCTGGGTTTAGCAGGTCAATGCTCAAACCACTGAGCTATCCCTCACCCCCAGATGCTTTGGAAAGGGACAGGAACGCTGTTTTCCAGATCTAGAGCAATATATATTTTCCAGCCGTTTATGATCCTCAGTCTACGTGAAGCACGGCGTGAAACTGCCTGAAAACATTCCCAAAGAACGGCAAGTTTCCCGAATATCTTTCTTACGATGCTACCGCGGTGGGTCATCAAACATTTTAAATATAGGGTGATGGAGAATTAAAAAGTCATGAAAACTCTCCAACCCGGCAATATCGTAGGGGTATTTTCCTTAGCACAGGCACGGCTTGCTAATACATGTGCTAGAAAAGCCATTCATAAATGCAGACTGTGCCGGCGTCAATAAACACACGTGGTTTGGGCCATCCCAGCTCATCACTTCAAGCGCACAGAAAATCTGGGCTGGGACAGGTGGCCCAGCGGTATCCCAGCTTTATAATGGCTGTTCATTACTTACATGACAGGGGCACCTGGAGGTGCCGGCTGGGATAGTTAGGGAACTGCACAGATAGTGAGCCACAGCTCTTCTGTTCCAAAGAGCTTTCAATGTAGAAGTAGGAGCATTGCCAGCAGATCGAGGGACGTGATCATTCCTCTCTATTCAGCATTGGTGAGGCCTCATCTGGAGTACTGTGTCCAGTTTTGGGCCCCCCACTGCAGAAGGGATGTGGACAAATTGGAGAGAGTCCAGAGGAGGGCAACAAAAATGATTAGGGGGCTGGAGCACATGACTTAGGAGGAGAGTTTGAGGGAACTGGGATTGTTTAGTCTGCAGAAGAGAAGAGTGAGGGGGGGATTTGATAGCTGCTTTCAACTACCTGAAGGGGGGTTCCAAAGAGGATGGCTCTAGACTGTTCTCAGTGGTACAGAACAAGGAGTAATGGTCTCAAGTTGCAGTGGGGAAGGTGCAGGTTGGATATTAGGAAAAACTATTTCACTAGGAGGGTGGTGAAGCACTGGAATGGGGTTACCTAGGGAGGTGGTGGAATCTCCTTATTTAGAGGTTTATAAGGTCAGGCTTGACAAAGCCCTGGCTGGGATGATTTAGTTGGGGATTGGTCCTGCTTTGAGCAGGGGGTTGGACTAGATGACCTCCCGAGGTCCCTCCCAACTCTGTTGTTCTATGATTAAACCATCAAAGGACAGACAAGTCTAATGATCACCCCCATTTTCCAGGTTGGGATCTGAGGTAAGAGAAAGTGGCTTGCCTGATGTCACATGTGAAGTTTGTGACGGAGATGGGAAATGAATCCAGATCTATCCATGTAGGGCGTCATACTGCTGCCCATCCCCGTAGCATCTGGGTGGATTCCACGTAAAATCAGCAGCAATAGAGAAATCCCTGTAGCGTCTCCGGCACCATCTCTCCCGCAGTTTTACGGAACGGGTCTGGGTTGGTGAGAAGGGGCGGCAAAGAGCTTGCCTGTCCTCCCTGACGTCTGAATCTATTAAACTGGCAGGCGTGCTAGAGCGAAGCCAATTGACTTTCGGCTCATTGTCTCCCACACACGGCAGCCCTTCCACAGAGAAGACGAACGCCTGGGTTTTCTCCAAGAAGCACTCGAGACGACTCTCCCGGGGAACGGCTGCCTCATTTGTTTGCATCAGCTGAACAACCAGTTCGTTCTATCCCTGAACCGAGAAGGCAGGCTTGTCCCTAGAGAAAGGAATGTGCCTCTTGAAAAGACCAGCATCATCCGCTCGTTAGTTTGGTTTGCCAACGGGAAGAAAACCAGCAGGCTGTCTGGGCCTGATTTACAATTACTTCTGGCAGCATATAGGGGCCTAAACGCAGGTGTAAATGACTCCTTGAGAATCCCCCCGGGGCAATATAGAGCTGATGGAAGGGCCCTTGGCATAGGCGATGACCAGACTATACTGTACCACGGCCATTCTCTGCTCCCCAGATGCTATTGGAAGCGGAGTTTAATTTAGAGCAGCCCTAAGGCCAGGCAGAATGGAGCAGAATTACCTGTGATCCTTGACCTCTGCCACCGCCCTAGGCCCACGAAAGGGGTAACTGAATCAGGTGTGGGACCCACGCAGTGCTTGACCAGAAAGGCCCGAACTTCCACCTGCAGATGAAAACTGAGCAACAAAAAGACGCATAGCGCAAGCGGTGGCTGTTTTCCATTTTATTATTCTAAATAAAAACCACACTTTGTGCTGGATGATGAAGTATAAAAGAATCCGATGTACAACGATTTTAGACATCTACTATTTTGGGTGGCGGGAAAAGTTTACAAAATATACAAAACTTTACAGCAAATAGATAGTAACCACTTAAATATCAGGTCAGTACCTACTATTAACTTAATGAAAAGGTTAGACAGTAATTACAACTCGTTTTTCTGCTTCATTTTTTTTTTAAAAGAGATCTGGATCCTTCGAGAGAGGGGAGGAATGAAAGCAAACCCCGTTTGTGTTTCAGAAATACAGATATCAGTCTCAGAAGGTTACGTTCTCCATTGGGACACCGCTGCCTTTTTGGTTAGAGATGGGCAGCTTGCTTCAAGCTCCATTAGCGTGGCAGGCCCCTGGGATTAAACAGAACCCTACAGTGCAGCTTGGATCGTTGACAACATGTTGTCCTGTTACAAGCCCCCGTTTCATCCCCAAGGATCCCAAAGCACTTTACGAACAAGAATGAAACCTCACACCCTCCCCCATGTGAGGTAGGTATTTCTTAGTGTCCCCCATGTTTACAGACTGGGGGGGGGTAACTGAAGCAAGAACACACACTGAGCCAGTGGAAAAGCTGGGAACAGAGCCCAGGGGGTCTCTCTCCCAGCCCCCTGTATGGTCTACCAGACAATACTGTTACCTTTTCCCATGATAAGTAGCGTTTTGCTTCTGAAGTGAGGCCAGGGAATGAATAATTGTTAGGCAGTAAACCAAAAAAACAGTACTGGAGCCAGCTCTGCGAGCTGGGGGCATCAGCAGGACATGTCTGGCGTGGGAGACACGGATTTTGGACTCTAGCCCCAGGGATCAGAGCAGCCTGCTCTGGTTTCAGAGTGAAAGCATGAGAGAAACTCCTTCTGTCTCTGGACTCCACCTAATCCTGCCCTCCTGATACGCAAAGCGGCATGGACATTGCTCGTGAAGACTGCTTGATCTCCTAGCCTGGCTGGCAAGACCCAATGGTAGCCCCATGACAAAGGGGAGGCAGAAAACGGAATGGTAAAGATGGTGGCACCAAGCAAGGGAAGACACCAGGACCCGTTGCAGATTGGTCATCGTGTCTGGGGTTAGGGCCTCGCTCTAAAACCCACCAAAGCCAGCAGAAAGGTTCCACTTGACTCCCATGGAGTTTAGGGCTGACATATTGAGGGAGGGCGCTCCGGGGGACGAGGGCTGGATCCTGCCATTGGATCCCCAGGCCGGGAGGGAGAGCCCAGGTTTTGGCCTCAGCCCAATTCGGAGAATTCAAGGAGGAGAAACTAAGGGACTGAACTCGTGATAGCGTTTTGCAAATTGGAATTTTTTTCACTTCCACAACCACACACGTCAAATGGCTGCCGCTCTCGGAGTGTTTTGAGGGAGAACGTGAACGGGTCATAACCCAGGGAAGAGCCAAAGACAGAGGTGGGCAGGGATCTGAGCTCGGGCTGCTCCCCCTTCCTCAACACGCTGGCTACATCTACACTATGAGCTGCGGAGCCGTCGAAGCCCGGGGGCCTGCCTTAGCCGTGCCAAGGAAATACCCATCAGTTTCAGATGGCTCCACGGCTCCCTCAATGAGTTTGTGTCCACAAAGGGGGACTCACACCCCTAGCTCGTACTGTAGACGTAGCCACAGACCGGAGTAATGACAAAGGGGCAGGCACCAGCCTTCCCTTCCCCTGACCTGGGGCAGGGTGTTGCTTGCCCGTTAGTGTTTCAGTGTCCAAGCGTCTCTCTCTTTTTTGTTTTTTTTGCCACAAAGGCTTTTGCTTCACTGCTTCAATTCGGGTCTGCAGGCCTGTAACCGTGGGGCAGGGCCCCGCAGCGTTCCACACAGCTTCTGGGACATGTCAGAATGATGCCCGGATAGCTGCCTGCACCCAAGCCTGCTTGCCTCTTTGAAAAGCCTTCGTAGCAACCCCCAGACAGGTTCAGACCTGCAGTCCGTTTAGCCAGCACCAGGTGGTGCAGGGAAAGGCGTCCGACACCCCCTCTCCGACAACCAGGGGTTAACCTGTTCAGTTCGACATGAAGTCAGAAGTCAACCAGTGCTAACAAAGTTCGGGGCAGATTTAACCAAGAACTAGAATTCTGTCATTTCAACATCCGCTTCCTCTTTCAAACACCTTCCCTAGAGGGCCATATCCAGGGGCTGGGTCAAGCTTGGGGCCTCCCAGGGATGTCTGCATACAGCACCCCTTAAACTGGTTAGCATGACACAGACCGCGGAGGGCAGCTCTCAGACGACGGTCTCGCCACCACTGGCTTTTTTCAGTGCCACGCGGTTTGACTGGGGCAGCAGTATTTGAAAGCGCACGTCAGGGCAGAGGTCAGCAGGGTTCCTTCTGCTCAGGAGATATGGTTGGTTCCCCGGGCGAGCTCTGGCACTGCCTGGAGGAACGCAGCCAGATGCCTTCAGGGCTCTGTCTCCATCCCCTGCACTCACATGCCCTGAGGACGTGCCGATGGGGGCGTTAAACCTCGACACTGAAACAACCACCATTAGCTGCAGACGGGAAGGGATTCTGACGACCGTGCTAAAACGCAAGAACTTCCAAATGCGGCCAGGGCTGCTGCCCTCCTGGAAATCCCACCCCAGCCCTAGAGCACAAAGTCCGACGGGCGGAATCGGGACCGCGCCTGACTCTAATCAACGGATGAGCAAGAAACTTGCTTCATTCCCCAGGGCTCCCGGCACAACGCCCTCGCCCCCTCAGACCGCACGCTCCTGCCTTCCTTGGGCACCCTCAGTCATCACGGCCCCCCCGCAAACCGACTCCTGGCGCGCTAGGCTAAGCGAGGAGCCTCTGCCTATTGCTCACTCCGCATCCCACCCTTTAGCACTAGTGTTCGTTTCCCAGGGCCCAGAAACAGAGAGCAGAGTACGGAGAAGGACGACACTGTAGGGCTGTTATTGCACCCGGGGGTGGGGGGGTTTCGAAAAGGAACGTGAGGGGTCATTTCCCTAGGATGCTACATAATACTCATAAGTGCTCTTCATCTTCAACACGCTTTACAGACATTAACTGGTTAATCGTCACCAGGCTCCAGGGAGGTAGGTAGGTACCACAAGTATTACCGCCCCCATTTTACAGAGGGGGAAACTGAGGTGAAGCGACTTGCCCAAGGCCACAATGAAGTTAGTGTTAGCAGTGGGGTTCGAACCGAGGAACGCCTAGCCCCCAGGCCAGACCAACGCCGCTTCTCTGCGGGTGTCCACACTGCAGCGGCACCGAGCCTCCCAGCCCGGGGGGACAGACTCCCGATGGTTTTGCTCGAGCAGGTGCACTAAAAATAGCAGCGTGGATGTTGCGGCACCGGCGGCGGTTCCAACTAGTCACCCAGCTCAGACCCGGGGCCCGCCTGAGCCGCGGCCAGTGCCGCAATGTATTTTTGGCCTGCTACCTCGAGCAAAGCTAGGGCAAGTCAGCCCATTCCAGCTGCAACGTGGCAGAGAGCAGCTCCCTGGGTGGGGAGAGGCTGGCAGAGCGTTCAGAGTGTATGGAAGTGCCGGAGCCTGTCCACAGGCTCCCGTGGCTTCAAGCCCCGAGCGCTTCCAGGTTATGAGGTAGTACGAGTCACCTAGGCTGCTACATGTCATATTCATGCCTTTCCACTCCACGCCCCAGGGCAGTGACGCTGGAAAAGCCACCCCGAACCCCACCAGCGGGCATGTGTGAAAAGCAACAGCGTTACCCGGTGAAAGCAGAAGGGGCAAACTTACGTCGGCACCGACTACGTCCTTCGATAGAAACCACGTCACAGACGCGGTGGCCGTTCCGTTACTGCGGGGTAGGGGGGCTAACCCTGTAGCGGGGAGAACGCTCCTCCTGCAAAGACACCTTCCCAGGAGTTAAGGCAACGGTTTCTTTTCACCCTCATCCTAGAGGGCTTTGCACGGGCCCTAGCACCATTCGCACAGGGATGTCCGATGCTCTCCACACCCCAACCCCCAGACTGCTGCGCTACTGACTTCGGGAGGGCGGGGTGAGCTACAGATCTGTGCCGCGGCATCGTTAACGTGCTACTGCAGGCCGCAGAATCCCAGGACTTGGCGGGGATGATCTCCGCTAAAAACATTTCTCTTCGGTCTGGGTGGGAGGGCAGGGGGGAGAACAAGGGCGAAACCAGCCCTTCTGCCCGCGTTTGCTACGTGCTTCCCCCGGCTCAGTGACTCTGCAGAGAGGGTAAATTGTTCCCTCCTGACAAGCTAGCCTAGTTTATGGAGAGAGACCTCCTCTTTTCTCCAAAGCAGCTCTGCCCCTGAGCTTGGGCTGCTCTGGGATTCCTTCATTTCCCTGGCTCTCAAATGTGACTTTTCAACTTCAGAAGTGGTACGAGGGGGTGGGGGTGGAGGAGGGAACAATCGGCAACTGTGGCCCTGGCTCAGACGGGCGGCTAGAAGTTGCACTAATCCCCCTTTCAAGCACCGAGTCGAACTCCTGGCGCGCCCCCCGTTGCCTGCCAGTCCCCCCAGCCCCAAGGCCAGTAGCAGCAAAGCCTAGAAGAAAACCAATTAGTGTTTTTGTGTCCACCACCTTCCCGTCCCGGCTCCACTGAGGCCGGCTGTCAGGGTAATAGCAGCATAAAGCTAGATGTGATCTCAAACCGCGGGAGGCCAGGCTAGGGTTAACCGGCTCGACATTTATCAGCTCCAAAACCCGGGAAGAAATGCCAACCCACGGAACTCAGCGGCCTCTAAGGGGACTGGAGGTAAGTAAAGAGAACGGGCGTCTTGGTTTACCTCACGCGCTGTTAACTTGAAGGACGCCGACAGAAAAATCCCCAGGCAAGGCCAAAAAAAAAAAAAGGAGAATTCCATCCACGACGTCCGACCGTTAAAACTGGGGGGGGGGAAAAGTCACCGCTTTGTAATTAGTGTTTGCTCCCCCACCCCACCAGCGCCGCCCAATCAGCTGTCTGTGTTTTTCTCCGCGTCTTTGGAATGGATTATGTACATGAACGTCTGTTCGATGGTGAAATCGGGCGGCAGGCTGCCTTTGTGGACACCGACGTGCTTGCTCATGAGGTTTAAGGTGGAGCTGTAGTGTCCACACACAGTGCATCGGTACATGAGGGCCCCCGAGTGCGTCTTCAGGTGGCACTTGATGGTGGAGCGGCCGCGGAAGAATTTGTGACACACTTTGCACTGGTAAGGCTTTTCTCCCGTGTGGATCCTCCGGTGGTAGTTGAACTCGCTCGTGTGGGCAAACCTCTTCCCGCAGACCTTGCAGCTGTACTTACTGTTTCCTGGCTGGTTCTGCAGGGCCAGGTCCTCGCTCAGGAATTCCTCCGGCAGCTTCCTCTTCTGGAGGGCTTGCTGCTGGAGCCGGTCTCCGAAGCTGGGCCGGACGACATCCAGGCTGCCGCCGCACTTGTGCTGGCTGACGTGGTAGCGGTAAGCCGCTTCCAGTTTGAAGCTCTGGCCGCAGAAATGGCACCGGAAGAGAGCCTCTTCCATGCTCTGGTGGACGGCCATGTGCTTCTCCAGCAGATGCCGGTCCACGAAGCTGTTAGCGCAGATGGAGCAGGAGAAGACCGAGATGCCCAGGTGGGACAGCGTGTGCCACATCAGGCTGCAGAGGTTGAGCTGCCGCTGGTCGCACACGCCACATGTTTGGCCTTTCAAGTTCATGTGGTCCAGGATGTGGCCGCGGACGGTGTGGAAATCTTTGGCCAGTGGCTTCCCGCAGGCGGTGCATACCAGCTCCGAGCCGGGCCCTCCACCAAACAGGTTGATCTTGCTGGGCAGTGGGTCGCTGGGGTGGACGATGACGTTGTTGTCGAACACGCCCTCTCTCCGGTGGAGGGTGAGCTGCCATTGGGTGAAGAACTTGGTCTCACACATGTCGCAGGAGAAGAGGAAGATCCCAATGTGGGACAGGACGTGGGTGACCCGGGAATTCCGGTCCTGGAAGTGGGTCTCGCAGACCTTGCAGTTGCCGGTGAGCAGGTCCACGTGGTCCCTCGCATGCTGGCGGATCAGCTGGATGTTGGGTTCCAGGACCTTCTTGCACACCTGGCAGGGCATGGCCTTGCTCTCCCGGCTGTCGTTCTCAAAGGCCAGCTCCTCCTCACTGTCGTCGCTCAGCTCGATGACCTCCTCCACCGGGCCCAGCTCTTCGCTGGCGTCTTCGAAGTGCAGCTCGTCCGCCCCTAGGTCCTCCAGCTGCAGCTCATCCATCTGCCCGAAGCCCTGGTCTTTGGAATGGTCACTGTTGCTGGGGCAGGAGTTGCTCCCGGTGGAGATGTCCAGCGAGGTGTCAGCTGCGAAAAAGCTGGTCTTGCTGAAGTCCCCGTTGTTCTGGATCTTATAGGGCTGGCAGGTACTTGCAGTGGTTTGAACGGCCATGTTGACGTTGCCCAGGCTGGGTTGAGACACCACGTTGGTGGCAGAAGCAAACTGCCCCGTCAGTTCCTGCTCTTCTGTCTTTGGAGGTGGTTGATGCATCAAAGGCAGGTTATGGCCGGCTTCACTCATGGGATTCCTGTCATCCTCTTTGTAACCACCTGCCACTTCCCCGTGCAAGATGCAATTCCGCTCAGAGCCAAAGTGCTCCCCACTGCTCCGGAGTTCACCCAGGGAATGGTTTGGTTCTGTCGCCGTGCCGCCCAAAGGGCCTGAACGACCTTCTCCCGACCCAGAGGGCTGCTTGGTAACAGCCGAGCTCTCCAAGTCGGGGAAGGTGGAATGACAGGCCTTGAGCAGATCGTCCATGCCCAGCCTCTCCGCCACCTCGTATATGACGCCCACGTTGATAAGGTCCGTGAAGAGCTCAGAGGTGTAGACGAAGCTCAGGATCTTCTCAAAGTTGGCCGGCGTGATGAAGTCCACCACGTAGGTCCTGGCAGCGTCCAGCCCCGTGTTCAGGAAGAGGTTCTGGAAGTAGCCGGCCGCACAGGCCAGCACCGCTTTGTGTGCGGCAAAGGAGCGGCTCCCCACCACAATGGTGACGTCGCACATGGTTTCCGACAGCCTGCACTTGTTGAGTTCCTTCAGCAGGTTGTTGGGGTGATCGGTGCTGTGTAGCTTGATCCTCATGCCCATCTTAGCAGTTGGTCAAGAGTCCCTCCTCCTGGTCAGCTTCTTATTCATTCGTTGGCCAGGCACTTCGCATCCAGCGGCTGGCAGGGCGAGGGGCTCTAAAGAAAGGAAAACGCAAGAGTTTACACGTCGGACTCATCGCCGGTTTGCGGTGAAATGTCCCGGCATGTTTCAGGCTTATGTGAGAAGTAGCCAGGGAACAAGACGGCTGCATTGGTGGAGATTCTCTCTCCAATTACCCATTCAAAAGATACAGAGAGGTGAGGGGGCATGTCACAACTAAAAGGCCAGAGAGAAGTGGCTGCATCCTTGCTCCTCCCCCTAAATGGGAGCGTGTAATATGGCATAACGATTATGATGTCGGGACTCGAGACCTGCTGAATTCTATACACACACGTAAATTCTTTAGGTTTTTAAGACCAGGTTAGACAAACGTGCCAGGGATGGTCTTGGTATCCTTAATCCTGTCTCGGCACGAGGGGGCATCATCTCGAGGTTCCTTCCAGCCCTACATTTCTAGGATTCCATTCTGTGTAGGTTCTTACGCTGACCTCAGCACTAATATCTGGTCCACGCTTCAAAGCTAGGTTGATGTAGGTTAGGTGCTCAGGGGTGTGAAAAACTCACGCCTCTGAGAGCCGTCAAGGATTCTGCCTCTTGGAGAGGTGGACGACCAACAGCGATGGAAACGCCCCCTTCTGTGGCAGTAGGAAGCATCTACACTACGGTGCTACAGTGCTGCACTTGCAGTGTAGACGTGGCTTGAGTGTCTTCCAGTTCTGCGTTACGTGACATGTCTAGCACCTACATTTTGCTCTGTACAATTTAGAAGGTATAAAGATACCAATGGAATAAAGAAGCAGTGAAGGGTTAAGGATTTCTCTTTCCCCTCTCGTGAGAGGGGCATACTAGATATTTTTTTCTACTGCTTTGACTACACACAAACTGGCTCTGATCTCAGTTAAACCAGTGAAATGTCTGTATGTAGACAATGCCTAAGGAATGACTCCTATTCTTATCTCGCTGAGATCCAAAATACCCCCGGGCAATTCACACTTCACCATCCGAATTGGCAGAAGTTAAAAATCCAAGAACTGCCACCACAGAATAGACTAGTGGTCGGGCCAGTCTGGTATCTCACCTGAGGTTCATGAGTGACCCTAGTTTAAGATCTTGCCGCAACATAAGGAATCAAAAATAAAAGTCTGCAACTTTAAGAAGCGTGTGAAAAACTTTGAGCAGGTTCTCTCCTTCGCCTCCTGTGTCTGGGCTACACTACAGCTATTATTAAACATTGTCAGCTCCCTGCCACAAAAAGCAAACGGGAGTAAACACAACAAGCAACCCCCAGGTAGCCCCCCGGCGGAGTCCCTTTGATTGGCCTAGGTGAGAGAGGCTCAAATAGGGGCTCAAGTCAAAGGTGCAAAAAGACCAAATAAAAACCCTTGCCACGAAAAGTAATGTACTTTGCCAGTCACTATCTGAGCTCCTGTTTCTATAGGGGTCTCTCTGTCTCCCAGCACAACTTCTCTAGCAGTTCTGTAGTAGCCTCGGTAGCTATGTTTATAAATCCGCAACCTGGATCGCAGACTCCTACCTCGCTGGCTGTGCACTCACTTCTAGCCATTACAGTTCTGTAGATTCCTTCTGCCCACTGAATATCTCCAGATCCTCCCCCTGCCCCAACACACTTTCGTTTGCCAGGTTGGATCTCATGTCAGATCTTGTCCCTAGTTCTTAACTCTTTAAATCTCTTTGAATTATTTCTCTGCTCTCACCGGCATTTGCAACACCTTTCTATGTAGTATAGCCTGCGATTGTCCGCCGTCTTTCCGGACCATCATTACAGAAGACTGGACGTGTGATAGCAATCTCTGCAAGACCCAACCAGGCCACCCCAACTCAGCCTGCACCCCCTTTTGTTTGTGAGCTGTTGGACAGTTTTCAAATCGGACAGACTACTCAGTCTCGAAACGTCTCGCTGGCAGCATCACGCTTTGAACCTCAGCCCTGCCAGCCTGATCTCAATTTTTCCAGGACACCAAAGGAGACAAGGGGAAGATCCAGATACGGAGTGGGGAGGCGACACAGGAAGTCCAAGGTTGCTTCAGTTCAGAAGCAGCGAAAGAGGGTGTCCCAGTTTGCAGACTCTTAGCGCCCCGGGGGATTTTCTTAAATAGGGAATCTTGGAAAAGGAAAAGAAAAGCCACCCTGATCAATAATTTATCAGGGAAATGGGAGATCAAGGGGGCTGCTCTGTTTGGATCTCAGAGCATGCAATGCTACCCCTGAACCTAACGGGGCAGGTCACCCCAGACCCCATTCATGTTGCCTATAGCAGCTGCTTCTCCTGCTTTGCACATGCACAACCTGGGGTTTGCCTGTTTATGATGTGCTTTTCTTCCCTCTGCTAGAGAATGAATACCCCAGAGGCCAAAAGAGGGGATGGGGTCCTCAGGATACAGGGGGGAACAGATAGGGGGAGGGGGAAAAGATGAAGGGGGGCTGCCTTCTATCATGAGAGGTGGGAAGAGAGGGAGTAGGGAAAGCGGGAAGATGGGGTGAGCCACCCGGGCTCTCCCCCTTGGTGTACGTGTGTCGGGGGGGGGGAAATAGGGGCGTCGTTCTCCATCGCAGGGCTTGGGGGGATGGATGAAAGGGTGGGAAGGGACATGGCAGGGGAATGGGGCAATCCAGCAGGAGGCGGACAGGGCGAGAGGGGGCTCTTTACCAGGGATGGGGGGAGGGATTTGGAGGATAAGGGGGGCTTTGGGGGCCGGTGTGCCCATCGGTGGGGGGTTGACAGC